TTTTTGATAATAAATGAATGCCTTATGTTCATCCTTTTCAACTCCAATTCCATCTCGATAACAATATCCAACATTATATGCTCCGATAGAATACCCCATCTCTGCAGATTTTTGATAATAAATAAATGCCTTTTGTTCATCCTTTTCAACTCCAATTCCATAATGATAACAATATCCAACTTGAATTATTCCATTAGAATCACCCATTTCGGCTGATTCTTTATAATAAATAAATGCCTTATGTTCATCTTTTTCAATTCCAATTCCATAACGATAACAATATCCAACACTATATGCTCCTTTAGCGCCCCCTTTCTCTGCGGATTTCTGATAATAAATGAATGCCTTATGTTCATCCTTCTCAACTCCAAATCCATCTTTGTAACAACATGCAACATTATATATTCCAACAGCGTTACCCATCTCCGCAGATTTTTGATAATAAGTGAATGCCTTTTGTTTATCCTTCTCAACTCCAATTCCTTCATCATAGCAATATCCAACCTTAAATATTCCATTTGAATTACCCATCTCGGCCGATTTTTGATAATAAATGAATGCCTTATATTCATCTTTTTCAACTCCAATTCCATACTGATAATCGACTCCAAGGTCATAAGGGTCTATATAAGTTGACTTTTTATGATGAAACAGCCTATTATAAACCTTCTTCGTTTTGTTTTTTGTGTATGAGCAACAAAGCAAAAAGATACGAATCCGCATTTTAAACGTGTAATTACTAAGGTATAAGAATCTGAAAAGTGCCCGAAGCGTTTGTTTTTTTTTTGGAGAAATATGCAGAGATATGATATTGCATGGTTTGAAGTAGAATATTCTCTGTTACACATTGGACAATTATATTGAAAAGCATTGCACGCATGTGATGTATTGATTATTAATTGAAAGTATCCAACAATGAGAAATATTAAACTTTATTAAATGATTGTTATTTGAAAATACAGTATGCAGCATAAATCGGTGCGATCAACGTATGGAACTATAGTTGCAAACTTGTTTAGAACTTTGGGACGTTTTAGAATATTAACTATGCTTGGATTAGTTAAAACCTTTTTGTATACAAATCCCAAAATTGGTAAAGCACTTGCCCAATACCAAATAAGGTATGAATCCCAATTAGTAAAGCACTTGCCCCAATCCTAAATAAGATCTGAATCGCGATCATTTCCAAACCCAAATAAGGTATAAATCCCAATCTATGTCATATATAAGTTTAAAATTAATATTAAAAAAATATTTTTTGGATTTGAGATTTGCGACTAGTTTCGATACTTCGAATAGATTTGAAACTTAAATTATCCCAAACTTATAAATTGGAATTTGGGATAAATTTTAAATAAAACATTTTGGGTTTGGGCCAGCAGTTAAATCTATTTGGACGACAACTATAGATGGAACGTTAGGGAGTGGCATGTCATACGATTTACAAACACTGTGAAGATAATATAGCAATTTACGACGGCAAAACATACAAACCCTTAACTTTAATAACTAGAGATGGATCGTCTATTGATGACCGACTATAGACATATCCGGTATTAGCCGGGCCGAGGGGATCAACTGATCGGCTAAAATTATAGCCGATACAACGCCAGTCAGCTAGAGCATGCCCCTATACATATGATGATATTGTTTAAACACAATGTGCTGATTGGCTAAGATATGTAGCTATAAAATCAATTTGTAATTTTTAATTTACCCTCTAGACAAAAAAGTTACTAAGGTCTTTAAGCACAAGAATATTATAAAGTTTCTAAGCTAGTGGCGGAGGTTTAGAAGCATATAACTTAAAATTTTGGAAGTTCACAATACCAGTACGATCACGTTTCTTGTGTAACATGAAATGTGGTAGGGATGGTTTCCTTCAACTTTTTTGATGTCGCT